TTCTTAGGTGACATTAAGTCCCACTCTGACTGCTTTCAACCTGAAAGGGACAGACATGTTCTGAGATGCATTCTGCAGGAAATCGAGCTCATCTATTGTGTCACTATATGAAGCCAACTCTGAGTTCTGCTAGTGGCACCTCCATCATATCATGTACACCCACTCAGCCCCACCTGTCACTGTCTAATCACTTTCTCTTTCATAACCCTTCACTTGAATTTTATTCTCCAAATCCAGCAACCTCTTTGCAGCACTCATTCTTCTGGATTTCATTACTGTAAATGGCACTTGCCCATTTCTAAAACACTCTGCATCGCTGGCTCTAATGGATCTGAGCTGTTGGTTCTACTCATTAACTCTTAAGTTTCTCTGTTTTGGTTCTGGGTCAAGATTGCAGCATCAGGCCTACTTGGATCCAGATACACTTTCTAGTCCCCACTAGCTATGTGCCCTTGGGGAATCTGCTGGACTTCACTGGGTCTTCTTTATCAACTCTAACATGGACATAATGGCATCAATTGTAGAGACTGTCCTCGGCATACTCAGTTTACTCTGTCACAAAGTAATCAGTGAGCACATGTGAGCAATCACCTTGGTGTGCTAATTCTTAGCTCCTGGGACTCTGGTCTTTTTGCCTTGAAGAGTCCATCTCCAATTGCTTTGACTAGCATGTCAGTATATGCCTGAAGTGATGACTCCAGGACTAAATCTTTCATCCTCTTTTCAGAAAAAAAAAAAAAAAAAAAAAAAAAAAAAAAACAGAAACCAGGAGTGTACTTAGCAATATCTAAGGAACAACCAGACGAGTACTGGTTACATCTGACTGTTCCTTCTTCCAGACTTCACTGCCCTTCGCCCCTTCGGCACTCTGCTTTGAAGATGTTTCTTCTCCAGTCATCTCAGATTCTCTGGCAGTTTATCCTCATGCATTGACTCTCAACACTGGTCTAAAGAGAAGGCCTAATTTTTATTTTTTGAGCTGTCTTCTTGCTCTTGGAGATACCACACTTCACCATGGCTCCAACTGCAACCTCTAAGTAAACAGAAAACTTACATACATCCTCTAACCCAAAGCTCTCCTCTGAGTTCTCGAACCCTGTATGAAACTAAGACAACATAAACTCAACAAATCCAAACCTGGTTTCATAATCACCCCCACCCCCTCCCATCTCATGTGCTCTCTTTCATCCCAGCTGGAAAGGACAGAAGCCTAGAAGTTGTTCTTAATAAACTTCGAATTCCTTCCCCCACCCCAAGCCTACTCACACCCATGAATTTCACCTTAAACATCTCTCAAATTCGCCCACCTATATCCATCTCGACTTTCTTCTTTCTTCTCAATAAATGTCTACTCAAGATAAAAGTCTACTTTCAAATACCTTCACATGGTTTGCTCTCTTCCACCCCTCTTCTGTGGCGAAGCCAGATCTTCCTTTTTTTTCCCTTAGAAACCTTCATTCACTCCATTCATTCATTCATTCACTGAACTCAAAATCATTCTTATGTTAAGTAACATAATAAGAGTCCCAGTTTATTCCCCCCAAACTAGTCATTAACCAAACACAATAACTATGCAAGAATGCACCTACGAGTATATATTTTACATGTCTTCTGTAAACATGTACATATTTTCATCTTTTTTCTATTTTACATGGTTTTGAATTTCATAGGATCTCTCACATCTTTGCATTCTGAGCTTCAATGAACAAACCAATGGTGTCCTCATTTAGATCATATATTACTTTAAAGGAATTACAAAAATCCATGGGAAATACCCTTAGACTCTGTTTAAAGGGTGGGATGCAGCTGAATTCATATCTGTATTTTGTTTCTATAATGTCTCATGAAGATAAAATATGTAAGATACAACAGATTATAAGAATTGTGCCAGGAAACAAGGTTCTCAAATATGTTTACTGTTTCTCTCAAGAACAATTTTATTTTGGGGAAAAAGGGTAGTAAGAACTGATACCCAACCAAGCAAGGGGACAGAAACAGAACACCTGGAAGCTTTGGGTACCACAGCTGCTCATGAATGAGACCCCTGAATCACTTCCAGTGCAGGAAGCACAGAACGGGAGTCTGGCGGAAAGAACAGATGAAGGTCTGGGGAGATGGCTCAGTGAGCCCAGTTCCTGCTGTGCAAGTGAGAAGACCCAATTCTTCTCAGTTCAAATCTGCAGAGCCCACATAAAAGCTAAACATGGAAGCCTGTGTCTGCAACCCCAGTGCTCCTACCTTGAAGCAGGAGGTAGACACAGAAGAGTCCACAGAAGCTCACGGTCCAGACAGTGTGCAGACAATAAAGAGACTCTGACTCAAAGGTGGAAGGTGGAGGACAGACCACTTCACAGACCACCCAGGGACTCACACACCCTCACTCACACACAAACACACATACATGAACAGACATAGATATTACACACATGTATGTATACATACACACATACTCTCACACACATGTGCACAGACAGACATTACACACATGTACTATATATACACTGACACCACACACACACACACACACACACACAGAAAAAAAATCATAAAGAATTACCAACATCAGTATACCTGATGGAAATCCTTTTCTAACTTTGGATTATTTAAAATCAGTCCCTTGTCTCTTAAAAGAAAACAGGAAGCATGGTGTAATCAATCTGAGTTATCTGAGCTCAGTCTAATTTCCTTTTTAAAAGAGGATTTCTTATAGAAAGAGCACAGATTAAGAGGCAGCGGTAAAATCCCTGTGTTGGTGGGACTGCAGCAATTTAGTTGACCAAGTTCCCATTGGCCCAGATGGACATAAACAACACAAGATGATAATAGGGCATTTAGGCAACTAGGTAACCATGGAGAAGCCGCCACAAGTGCTCCTTAAGGAGCTACTATCAGCTTCAAGCACAGCTCTATCAGCAGAATTCAGGACTCTGTGGCCTTCCCTCTGAACCACTTTAAGCAGTAACTAGAGCGAGATATAGAAGTTTACTACAGGCACAATGACATGAACTCTGCAGGAATCATATGCATACATAAATATACAAAAACTATGCACACCTAATAACAGAGCCAAGACTAAAATCACAGTAACTTGGAAAAATGGTCTAATTCTCATATAATAAAATAACAAGGGAAAAAAATCTCTAAGGTATCAGCTCTTGTCTCCAAAAACATGCACACAGCTTTGAGAGGGGCAAGCTGTGGATTAATTGTCACCGGTTGTAAAGCTTCCTTAATGGCATTAGAAGACAACAAGCTTAGTTTGAGGGGGCAGCAGCAAGCTTGGTGCGATGAAGCTGAGAAGGGCTAACATGATGCAGCTAGGCAAAGCGGCATCTCAGAGATGAAAGATGGCAGACTTGGTCCATACTGGCCAGACCAGAACTCAGATACTTCTCACCTAACATCAGCACGAGTATTCAGGATGAAACCACGGATACTATGAGAGGAAGGACAGACAGGAAGGGTGGTTCAGAACCAGGACAAAACAACGGCCTCAGTGGAAAATGGTGGTGATCTCTGCTCAGGCATTCAGTGAACATGAAGTTCAAACCTGTTTTGGAAAACCTACTTCACTCAAGAATAGCCAGGGATGAAGAGAAAGAGTGGCTGTGTGTGCAAGAAATTCTTGGTATATTGAAATATGCATATCTGGAGTGGAGACCAACACGATTTGACAAGAATGAGACTGTTGTGTAAGGTTTAGTAAGAAAGGGAGCTAGCAAGATGGTCCACTGAACTGAAGTCATTTGCCTCATATACCTGGCAACCTAAGTTGGATTCCCCCAAATCCACAAAGTTATCCTCTGACCTCCACATGTGAGTCATGGTTCAAATGCAACTGTGCATGTGTGTGCACACACACACGATTTCATAAGGTACGTGTAAGAACAGAGGAAAGAATGTATAAGGAAGACTGTGGAGAATCAAGGCTCATTAATGAGGAAGAATCAGTTTGACTTGATGCACACTTCCCAGGAAGCAGAAAGGCAATGACTGGGGCCCTCTTAACTTCTTCACATCCCACAGCATGAACAGGACACACGGGAGGTGGACTCCCATTGAATCCATCCCACTGTGTACTTCAGCACCCATATGTCCTACTCTGAAGCCACACTTGTGATGAGAAGCAAAAACTTTCTGTTTGGCCCCATCAGCAGAGGGGACAACAAAATCAATGTTTGTTCTCAGTCCATGGACCTTGAATGTATAAGAAAAAAAGCAAAGATTTTCTATCCTTTAATTCATAAATTCAGCTAAGATATTCAAATATTCTCAATTAATGTAAATAAAGATTTGTTACATATCATATCTCTCCTTGTGAGCCATTTGCTTCTGAATAACGGGAAAAATAAGTTTGATTGAAGATCACTTGGAAAATGTGTCTTAAACACTCTAAAGCCCTCTAATCTAAGATTATATGGAAACAGGCTTTAGAATGTTTCTAAAAAGAAATGATTCATCAGTGAGATTAAGCTAAATGCCGGAGTAATCAAATTGTGGAATTCTGATTAAATGGATACTTAAGTTTAATCTATTTAAAACTTGCAGGATAAATAGGAAGGGCCTGGTCTAGACTAGTCTGGCTTGGCTCAAATGCTGTAACTGCATGTCTAAGGAGTTTGCTCTTCAAACTGTTCCTTTTAACTTCTTACTTCCTTCATACTTCTTTCTCAGTCTGAATAAATGAGAATCACTTGGACTTCTATGGGCTCTTTCTGTTAAATAGCAGCCAGAAAGAAAAGGCAATAAAGTGAAAGGGGCATGTCCTTACCCCCACCCCGGAAAAGGTTTCCTTGCCAGTAGCACTCGCTCTGGCAGTTTTACCACGTCTGAGCAGGCACATAAAAGAAAAAGCAAAGAAGGCCAGACCCAGGCTGCCCTGGGCCAGAGAGGTCCCCTTTTGTGACTGCAGCTAGGCTCCCCCGGGATTTCCTCCTGTCGTCCCGGCAGCGCCGCCGGGCCGCAGGCGGGCGACCGCAGGCCGACGCGGTTCCACTTACAGTGACACCATCCCAGGTGACAGCACCAGTGCAGCTTGAAGCACTTGCCGTGGCTGTGCGTGGCACAAATGGACAGCCCGTCGCAC